GCTTCGGGGCGCGGCAGACCCCGGCGCTCTCGTGCTCACCGTTCAGCCGTTCCCCCCGGTCTGGGTTCTCCGGGGAGGTGCTGTGCTGACTCTGCAGGGACACGTAGCCATCCGTATCTCTATGGCATAGGCAGAGCTTCGCCTGTGAAGGACAGATTTGGAAGACTGGTAAGAAGAAACAGCCTAACGCCAAAAGTGGGCGGTGGATTTAAATGCGAGGAACTTGAACAGATCAACTCATGCAGGTGCAATGACTTTGCTCACTGTAGCATATATTATTATTCAGCATAAAAACAGGAAGTCCCAATTAGGCAAAGGGTAAGATGGTTCAGTTTAATAAGGTAACCTGTCACGTGCTGGATCGTGAGGCCAAAAGATTCCGTATAGTATTTTCTATTCAGTTATCAGATGGTACTGGGACACGTTAGGGAGGGAAAGAATCAGAAAGGATTCTATTCGATGCCTAGGACAGCTAGATGGGGCTACAATGTTAACTCGGGTGGAGGCTTCTTAAAATAACAGGCAACAGTATGTTAGGCCTTGAAGAAACAGTTCAGGCTGGTGAGTTTTAGGTTGATACAAATTACGAAGGTGTTCACATCCTGGAGAAATTTGTTTTTTGCTAGTATTGGTGTTTTACCAAAAGGATATTTAAGTTCTTTATGAGATGAGGGTGGAGGAAGTTTTACACAACCAGTGATGAAAATATGTATTTTAGTTGATCAGTTGAACAGAAAAAAGAGACAAGGCAGAAAAGGTAGCAGTAGTACGGAGTAGGTGTTAAGAGGCCAGACTTGCAGCTGGGTGGATAGCCTGAGTTTAAATCCCAGCTCTGCTACCCACCATGGAAAGTTATTTAGCTTCTTCGTGCTTTAGTCTCCTCATCCATAAAAAGGAGAGAATAGCACCCACCTTATGAGGTTGTTGTAGGAATTAATATATGTAAAACTTTAACAGTGCCCATTCCATAGTAAGAGAGATATAGACCATTTATTATTATTGTTTTTATTGTTGTTAGTAATAGTAGTGGTAGTGTTTCACAAAATACTAGGGCCCAGAAATCCAGAGTTAAGAAAGAGACATTAGTCTTTTCTTCCTTATTTAAGTTGCTTATATCCCTGCTGCGCTCAGTGGTGGATAAATATGACCTTAATTTTCTGAGCACTGGCTCCCAGAATGCTGGAGGCATCCTCTATTGTTTTGTACTTCTTACCAAATTCTGGCTAATTGTGTCATCTTCAACCAAGAGCACATAATGTTGTCTATTATTATCATTATATTCGCACAGTTTAAGTTGGTTAGTCATGTTATTAACTATAGTTATTTTCCTGGCCTAATTGTTATGCATTTATATGGCATTTTGTATTTTCATAATGCCTTACAACTACTAATTGTGTGAGGAGGTCTGTTTAAAACGGGCTTACTTAGAGTTGTGTGCATGTGATGATGCCTATCTTTGTATACTTGTAATAAACATGATAAAATATGTTTTGCTCTAGATTAACATCAATATTTAGAATGATGATTTGTCTACCTGAAATCTAGGTTTCAAGATATACGAGTTGGACTAGAATTGTAACTGAATAGATATTACTATTTCTCCTTCTCATCCTAGAATGCTTGTGGTGACACTAACATCATCATCAGCTACGTGCATGGGCACAATTGGATCTACCTCAATAAACTGTGCTATGAGAAAACGTGAGAAAGGCTTTCCCTAGCCTTCAAAACACTTAGGTATGAGTATTTGAAATTCCTCAATTAGAACTTAATTTCCTTATTCCTTTTGGCTTAAGTCAAATAAGAAATTTAGTACCTGTTAACATACTCTTGGGACAGATAACACATTACATTCTATCATTCATTATACCTCAGGGTGAATGAATCTGTTAAATTATTTTCTAAAATGAAGTTTAATCAGAGAAGACATAGAAAGCCCTAGAAAATTGCCGGGCACAATGACTGATGCCTTTAATCCCAGCACTTTGGGAGGTGGAGACGAGAAGATTGCCTGAACCTAGGGATTCAAGACAAGCCCAGGCAACTTGGTAAGACTTTGTCTCTACAACAAATAAAAAAAAATAGCCAGGCTGTGGTGGTGCATGCCTGTAGTTCCAGTTACTTGGAAGGCTGGGGCAGGATTGTCTGAGCCCAGCAGATCGAGGCTGCGGTGGCCATGAGGGTGCCACTGCACTCCAGCTTGGCTGACAGAGTGAGACTCCAAATCAGAAAGAAGAAAGGAAGGGAGGGAGGGAGGGAGGGAGGAAGGACAGACCTAGAAAATTGGAACCCAGTTGGAATGGAGTTGAGAAAAGAGATAAAAAGAAAAACAGAGTTAGATGACACCTACGTCCGTCCAAAGTTTGGCTGACTTCTGTTTAAATATGTGAGTTGAACACATGAATTTTTAGCAACTTTCTCTCCCCCAAACCTCACTAGAATGACAGGAAAAAGGATTTTTCAAAGTATAAGTCCAAAAGGATAAATAAATCAGGAGAGGAGAAAACAGCAATAGAATTTTGAGAATTAAGGAGTGGCTATAAACGGTTTAACTCTGATGTGGCTGACCTAAGAAAGCTGAATCCTAAGGCAACAATGAAGAAAGCCAGGAACTCAAGTACAGTCATCCCTTCAAATTCTCTGTGGGGTATTGGTTCCAGAATCTCCAGAGGGTACCAAAATTTGAAGATGCTCAAGTCCCTAATATAAAATCGTATCGTTTTTGCATATAACCTATGCATAGTCTCTCGTGTACTTTATATTGTGTCTGGGTTACTTATAATACTGAACAATGTAAATACTATGTAAATAGTTGTTATACTTTATAGTTTAGGGAATAATGCCAAGAAAAAGCCTATACATGATCGGTATAGACATAGCTTTTTTTCAAATAATTTGAAAGTGTTGAAAGAGGTTGTCTCTGCAGAGCAGGAAATTGGGAGTTTGGGAGGAAGGACAGAAGATTTCATAACACATCTTGTAAAATGTCTTGACTAAACTCTATGCTGGTGTAACTCAAAGTTTGTTTGGCAAGGGGAGAAGCTAAAGACAAGAAACAATTTCTGATGCTTTTGTAAAAGTTCAGACAAGAGATCGTAAGAGTTAATAACTATAGCGATAGGAAGGAAATGGTAAATTTGAAAGATGAGCTAAGATCAGCCAAGTTTTGCAAATGCTATAAGCCATGAGAGCATGAAGTCAAAGAGGTTGCTGGAGTTTCTTGCTTGGATGAAGGCAAATGAAGATACCATTAATTGAGAGAGGGAATATGGGATGTAGAAAGACAGTGAGATGGATTTTTTTTAATATGTCAGGTTTGATTATCTATATAATTGCATATATTGCCCACCTAGTATGGGGTAATAAGTTTGAATTAGGAGAGAGTCAGGAGGGGAATCTGGGCTGGTAATAAAGATTTGAGAGTCATCTTTCAGAGGAGTTTACAGTGGAAAGCTGGGAATGTCTGTGTGTGCATGTACACAGCACTCTCTGCCCAAAGTCCAGGGACTTTCCCCTAGGCGAAGGGTAAGGAACAAGTAAGTCTCCAGTGTGTAGACTAGGAAACAGGCCTTCAACATGGGCTGAGAATCATCTCTTAAGGATGGTAATTGAGATATAAAAATAAATTAGATAGTTCAGAGAGATGGTATGGCCAAAGAAAAAAGACAGAATGGATACAAACTTGAAGACCCCTGCATTTGAAGACTGGAAAATGAAAGAGGGATTAATTTAAAAACAGCAATCAGGCTGGGCATGGTCATTCATTCCTATAATCCTAACACCTTGGGAGGCTGAGGCAGGAGAATTGCTCGAACCCAGGAATTCAAGACCAGCCTGGGCAACATAGGGAGACCTCACCTCTATAAAAAAATCAAAAAAATTAGCCAGGCGTGGTCGCACACACCTGTAGTCCCAGCTACACAGGAGGCTGAGGCAGAAGATCACCTGAGCCCAGAAGCTTGAGGCTGTGGCAGGCTAAGGGAGATACACCTTCACTGTGTCCCCGCCCTCCAATAGGCTAGGAAATTACAATAAACGGCAAGTCTCATGTAAGTAAGCAGTACCCTATGAGGTTCATCTGCATCAGAAGGGTTCCAAATAGCAGTGGCTTAAAGAAGTTTCTTTCTCAAGCAAAAAAAGATTGCTTTGTAGACAGTCGGAACTATAGTATGACGGCTCCCTGAAGTCAATCCTTGTGGTCATCGAGGATTGATGACCACACCCTTAACTTTTTGCACCGCCATCCAGTGCTGTCATACTCAGGATCACTTTATGGTTCCAAATAGGTCCTGGAGCTCTAGTTACTAATTTTAGGGCAGTGGCAAAAGGAAGCAAGAAAAAGAGGGATTACTTTCTGCCTTTGAACAAACCCTTCCTGAAAGTTCCTCATTTCTGCTTACATTTCATTGGCCAGAATTTACATAACCATGTGTAATGGCTAAAAAAGAAAGTTGGGAAATGTAATGTTTAATTCTGTGTAACCAACAGAACAAACAATATACAAAGTATAACTTTCAAAATCAGTACAAAAATAATTGCTCATTCCAGTGGTTTGTAGGAAAGAAGAAAAAAGATTCTAAAAAAGAAGTTTGAAAAACAGAAAACATAAAATAGTTTTTTCTATTATAATAAATGTAAATGAGTTTAACTCACCAGTTAAAAGGCAGAGATACATAGACTGGGTTTTTTTTAAATAGCACTATAGGTTTTGTCTGAAAGAGCATATTTAAAAGGGAAGAGAAAAGTTGAAATAAAGAAATAGAAAAAGATATACCAGAGAAATATGAATAAAAGAAAAACCAAGGTAACAATTATATCAGACAAAATAAAAATGAAGATGCAAAATATCACAAGGGATAAAAGCAGATATAGCATACTGGTAAAGTAACAATAGATCAAGAAAACTTAATGTTTATGGTAATAAATATGCTTACTGATGTAGACAGAAAACATATAAAGCAATAACTGACAGAACTACAGAGAAATAGATAAATCAACTATAGTACTTGGAGATTTTAATTCATCACTTATAATCATATATTTATGCTCAGAAAATAAGCAAAGATGTAGGCTATTTGAGTAACATGAATAATAAGCTAAAAGCAAATGATATGGAGAAATTTATACCCATCAAAGAAATCACATTCCCAAGCATACATGAAACATTTACAAAAGTTAATTATGTGCCAAGCCACAAAGGAAGTCTAGGGAAATTCTAAAAACACATTCATGTTATAACCAAATTAATTTAATGACACACACAAATGGAAGTTGTATTCCAGTGGGAAAGACCAATAAGAAACAAACACATAAAATTTCATGTAGTGATAAGTGCTGTGAAGAGAATAAAATAGAGTAAGAGGATAGAAGATGATTTGGGGAAGTGGCCAGATAAGTCTTTCCTGAGGAAGTACCGTGTGAACAAATCCAGGACATTTGCCATGTGCATGAGAAAGAGAAGAGGCTGGGCTCAGTAATCCCTGTAATCCCAGCACTTTGGGAGGTTGAGGCGAGTGGATTGCCTGAGCCTGCAGGTTTGAGACCAGCCCGGGAAACTTGGCAAGACCTCGTCTCTACAATAAAATAAAAAATAGTCAGGCGTGGTAGCACGTGCCTGTAGTTCCAACTACTGGAAGACTGAGGCCGAAGGATCGCCGGAACCTAGCAGATCGACACTGAGGTGGCCCTGAGTGTGCATGCCACTGCACTCCAGCCTGGGCGAAGGAGTGAGACTCCAACTCAAAAAAAAAAAGAGAAGAGCATTTTTGACAGAGGGATAAACAAGTGCAAGTATCTCATGATGGGAAAGAGTTTGGTATATCTGAGGAAGGCCAACATGGCTAAAGTAAGTAGGTGTTTGAGAAGAAATAATGTAGTTAGAGAGGAAGCCATGTCAGATCATGTAGAGCAGGTGATTATCGACACTATCAAATCCAAAGTTTGCCCCTTTGCTTAGTATAAAGATGTTAGTAGAAGTATAGCAAATGTACAGATTCATATGTGTGTAGCTGAATGAGTCTTCACAAAATGAACCAGCTAGGCAACCAGTAGCCAGACCAAGAAAGAGAGAATTACCACAACTTTAGAAGCCTCTTCCTACCCCTTTCCTATCACTAATCCTTGCCATAAGTTACCACTATTCTGACTTCTAATATTGGAGATTAGTTTCACCTCATTTTGAACTTTATATAAATGGAATAATGTAGTATATATTCAAACATTATTGAGGACAATGTTCTCCAAGTCAAGTTAATATTGTGATTCTGGTCTTACTGATAATTTGTATGTATGTTCTATTAGCTTTTG